AAATTAAAACGCACACCCAAGTTATCTGAAATAATTCTACCGTAATGACACCACAGTAAATATAGTGATGACCGAAATGGAAATGCACATGGCTCATTGCCTGATGTATTTAATCATTTAAAAAGTTTAAAACAATTTCATAAATAAAGGCTGACTAATTTATAAGACAATTTGACAAAATCAAATAATTTAGTCGGAAAAATATTTTTTTTATAAATATAATTTGTACGTTATTTGTAGCGTAAATATAGACAGGATGTGAGAAAGGAATTACGGAGCCATGCACATCTGTGATTCGTGTTTTGATATTCAATTTATTACAGATATTATAAAAGCTGAATTCTACACCTCAGCGGAGAAGTATTCAATTTAGTCTGTTAGTCTGGTACCATGATACTTGGCAGAATTCACGTGGATAGGCCTACGGATGATAGAATTGTACAAATTTACGAGTCGCTCATGAGTCCAAAGTAAATTAGCCGACTTTCAAGAATTTTTGGATATGGGTGATATGATTGGTCTTTAATAATTGAGAGTGACAGGTTAGTTATTGAAGCGACAGGTATGAAGAAAAGCTACCTGTTGCTTGCGACAGGTAGCTTTTTTGAAACATTTCGAGGCCTGATCAGATAGGTTGACATAAAACATTGACCCAGCATCTGATAGGGTGACATAAAACATAAGACCCAGTAGCAGATAGGTTGACATAAAACATAAACCCAGCATTAAATAGGTTGAGAGCTAGCATCAGATAGGTTGACATAAAACATAGACCCAGCAGCAGATAGGTTGACATAAAACCAGCAGCAGATAGGTTGACATAAAACATAAACCTACATAAAACATAGACCCAGCATCAGATAGGTTGACAAAAAACAAAACATAAATAAAATTGCCAGACATAAAAAACACATAGACCAAGCATCAGATAGGTTGACATAAAAAATAAGCCCAGCATCAGATAGGTTGACATAAAAAATAAGCCCAGCATCAGATAGGTTGACATAAATCATAAACAAGATTGGTTGACATAAAACACATCGACCCAGCAGCAGACAGATTGACACAAACAAAACACAGAGCCAGCAGCATGCTTGGATGAAACCTATATGGCCATCAAGTCTGTACAGAAGCGTTGTCTGCAACAATTTTACGCCATGTTAGGACAAATTGTATTGTGCCTGTCAATTTGTCCATAACAAAATTAAGATCATTATTTCACTGTAACCGACGAACAAATGTCATACATTGCCAGTTCAATGTTCGTTCCATGTGGGGGGGTTGGACGGCTGAATGGTTAGCGTGCACACACTGTATCATAAAGTCTGTCATTGAGTCGACTGGCGTGGTTTCGATTCCCCGGTTATATGTGACAAGGAGTAGGGTCGCCTGTCCAACCTCGTGGGTTTTCTCCGGGTCCTCTGGTTTCCTCCCACTGCTAAAGACCCCTACGCGCAAGCGAATTATTGAAATAAAATTAAAACCATATGTTAGTCCCGAAATGACCTAGTTTGTGTCGAGTGGACGTTAAACCCCATTTCTCTCTCTCTCTCGTTCCATGTGCCGCAAATGTAAACATCCAGAAAATCGATGTCTTGATCATCTCAGCCAGTGATTCCTCGTCATAAAGTTACTATTATCAATAGCGCGACAAAAGTTAGTCGGCTTAACCATTTCATGCAAGAGCAAGATTCCGATTTCTAGCAGATGGTAAATCACACATAAATTACCGTCGTGTGTATTAATATGAACACGTAATACCACCCAACTTTATTACAATATTGCTAAAAATAAAATCTTTGTTCAATTACATCTTAAACCACCGATAATTGGATAGCCATTGAAACTGATAATTCTTTAAAAGGAGAGACCGTGATTTGAAGGTCAAGGTCGTCGCGCTTCTTCAAAGAAAAATGACATTTCTTCTAATTCTAATAAAAGTCACACATTGAAAACAGCAACACTGTACAGATAGATGGGTAACCGAATGGTTAGCACGTGCGAGCTGTATCAAAAGGCCTGTCATTGAGTCAACTGCCATGGTTTCGAATCCCGAGTGGTAGTGACAAGGAGTAGATTCACTTTTCCAAGCTTGTGTGTTTTCTCAGGGTCCTCCAGTTTCCTCCCACTGCTAAAAACCCCTACACTCAAGTGAATTATTGAAGTAAAATTGATCCATATATTAGTCCCGAAAAGACCTATTTTGTGTCAAGTGGACATTAACTTCCATTTCTCTCTGTCTCTCCATTTACCAAAGAGTGCTTTAAAAAACAATTACTACAAAAGCATTTAAAACATAGAGATTTGATAAAAAAAAAAAAAAGCTCTTACAAGGGTGGAATCTCTACCAGAATAAATCCTGTTACTTGCCGAATCTACTACAATTAATGTTAGATCTGGTTCCATGGGTGAATTGGCACAAAGTTTAGTTTTAATACCACTGTCTGGTGTTTCAAATATCAGACTGGTAGCCGTTTGTTCTGAAAGTATAAATTTTGTTTATTAGATATATAATTGAAATGTGAACAAGGCGTTTCTGTTCTGACAGGGCAAATGGAGATCGGCATACATAAGTCAGTAAGCCATGAGGGAAATTTTCCCCGGTTAGTGCTACTGCAACCTACTCTGTCAAGAGTTCTTTTACATGCATGTCGGGGAGCCACGGTGGCTAGGTGGTTAAGACGCTGGCTCGCTAGCCTGGAGGTCGGGTGTTCGATCCCTGCATTGGCCGAGAAAGTTCATCCAGATTTTCCGGCGTGGTTTCTCCTTGTCAGTGATGCAGGACGGAGGGTCTGGCAAGGACAGCTGTCTGGTCATTCGGATGAGACGAAAAACCGAGGTCCCGTGTATACATTGGAATGCACGTAAAAGATCCCTTGGCAGTTGGAATTCGATATAAGAGTAGGCGATAGTGCCGCTGCCCGGGCAAAATTTCCCTCATAGCACACTGTATGGCGTATGCCCGTCTTCATTAGCCCAGGTTAGGAGCAGAACAGTAGGACGTTAAACCCCATTTCATTTCATTTCATTTACATGCATGTCAATGCATGTATTGTACAGCACCTTGATTTTCGGTAACATCCGAAACACCCCAAAAAACATATCAAATATATCTTGAGTGGTCCATATCCTTCCCCGCATTAGGGCTGCAACGATTCACAACTACCTCGATTCGGTTCGATTATCGATTTTAACCATTCGATTCGATTCTTTTCGATTCGATTATCAGCTACAATAGCCAGTAATTTTTCCTGTATATAATTCATTAAAAACAATGAAAACACAAGACTAAAATTCTCTTGAATACTTTTATTGGTTTGACAGGTTTGTTGTTTCCTGTTTTATGGGATATGTCAGTGTAGCATACTCTACTAGTCTCTATCATCCAGAAAAATATTCAACGAATATTAGTCTTGACAGGTTGTCAACATTTGAGAAAATTTGGCTAGATAATCCGGTCTTTCACATTATCATAAACAATGTCTAAGGGAGGTAACTCCTCTTAAACCAAGATGTTTACGCCCATGAAATTAATTTAAGAATGTCATTTCAAAAAATCCATTTGATTGCATGCGAGTTCAATATCTAACACTCTTAATTTTTTATTGTAAAATTTCTCTCTTCATGGGCCATATCTATGCTTTTAAAATTAATCCTAACTCGTCGTCACGATTCATGTTTGTTTATATTAATGCAATAATTATGGGATTTATTGTGGGAAGGGGCGCAACTCTTACTTGACTTGGCTAAAGAGACTGGATAATCAACCACATTAAAAACCAAACTCCCGGTTACGCATGGGCAATGGACTTTACGTCAAATATTGACAACCTTCCCAGACCCTCCGTATGTTGAAGACTCGGAGGATCTGAGTGACCGAGACTAATACTCTACAAGTTGCCACATCTTTAGAGTTTTTTCTTACACCAAAATGATCCCAAACTTTAGATTTCAAATGACCAGGTGGTCGAGAAAGTACGTCGTCTGCCATAATTTTACCTTCCAGTCGTGTTTGCTTGACTACGGGTAATAATCGTTAAACACGAAAATATCCGAAGATAATGACCGGAATTATCAGCTAATGAGATCGTTTAGAATTTATATAACGATTACCAAAGCTATTGACCTAAATTAACATCCAATGAACATTCGGTACGTCACCAATTTTAAATAAATTAACTTTCGTCAGCATACGGAAATTGTTTTAAAGGGAGGTCACTCTTTTTTAGTTATGTTTTCGAGTGACATTCGTGTCTTGTTAAATAACGTAAATTAAAAGTTACGTAAAAACAAAGTTTTTTTTAAATTTTAAGTGGACTTAATTGCTTGAGGTCTTTCATTTTTTTTCATATGGTAAGGTGTACGTTGTTTTTATTTGAAATTTAATTTGCAATTGAACCGAATCGAAATTTGAACGTTGTAGATCGTGGATCGAACCGAGGCGGCTAGTGTCGGTTATCGGTGCACCGAACTGAATCGTTGCAGCTCTACCCCGCATAGGATAAAAGTTTGGTTTACATTAAACATACATCATGCAAGTGCTAAATCTGCCTATTGTAGGACTTTCTTTGGGCATGAAATGTTATCTAAATTATTAATTAGACATTTATTAACATGACAAGACCTTAATCAACTCTCGATGCCATCTTATGTGTCAGATTTTCACCACTGGGTTTGAATCCAATTTGCTGCTCAACGCTTATTGATGATAAATTCAAAAATGGATAATCAAGACTATTTTTTTATCGTACCGACTTTAGTAATAATGATCGAGGCTAGGCCGAAAATTCAAATGCTAATATCTTGGTTCAGAGTGGATCAATTTGACTGAAATTTTCAGCATATTCCCTTTACAGTATCTAGTTTTTAACTACTATAGTGAGAACTGCCAGCTCTTTAACTAATCTTCCATAATGTATCTTTAAATATTGAACTAATTTACCTTGAACAGTAAATGAATTAGACATCACAACAGCAGAATCAGGAGTACAACTTGAAGTTGAGTTATAAGTAAAAGTCACTTTTGAACTATCAATGGTTTTACATTTTAAATCTGTGTATACATTTGGTTGTCTTATCCACGGATCTCTTGGCACTGTCATTGTGAAATTCAATTTTAATGATCCCACATCCAAAATACGAATGTCTGAAAATGTTACAACTCCACTGACTGCTCTTTTTCGAATGATTGTGTCATAATAACTTGCATGTACACTAGACTCGCTACCGGCTAGTCGAAACTGAAAAAAGAAAATGAAAAAATTAATCCACTGGCAATTCATGTTTCTGAAGCAACGACTGCAAGTTTTACAACATCTGGACGTTGCTAGATTACATCACAATTTTCAAACTTTTAGCTACGTTATCTGCAGTAGCGTCCAATCAGAGGTTGTGACATAGCGACTTCCACGGAAACCTTGACATTGAACGAACCTAGAACTTTGCAACTCGATTATTACAGGTAGACATTTTATCTGGAAAGTGCGAGGCTTGGTATTTACGAAGATTGAGGAATCTGATAGGCTCACAAGCTGGGTTTGTACCCAATCGAAATTAGTGTGGAAATATGCAGGGTATTACTTGAATGTCTTGATAAGATCCATTGACTGTTGGAAATCGTCAAGAAATAGAGCAGTCTATCATAGCATAACTCTTGAGGCAAAATAATTCTCATAGCCCAGTGCATGGCCTAGGCCCATCTCTAACAGCCTGATTGGTACTAAAAAGTAAACCTTTTTATTTAATTTCATATACTTACTTGAGTTGTTTTAAGAAACATTTCTTTTCCAATAAGATGATAAAATTGTTTATATTCATAGCCAACCGACATGGTGACGTGTAGTGTAGAATCTAGTCCGCTTGCTACCACATTTCCACTAGCATCAACAATCTCCACAGTAACACTGAATGGTGTGTTTGCCTTGATAGTTGCTGGAGGAGCATTAGTGATTTGCAGGGTTTTTGCAGGGACTGAAAAAATACAACAAAATACGGAGTCTCAATCACAAAAGTCAGACGGTGAACCCCCATTTCATTTCTTTTCATTGCTATGGTTTGGTAATAAGAACACTCAAAGGGTATTTTATTTTTTTGTAGCTTAACTAGTGGACTCTGGGGGTATGCCCCCGTCCCCCCAAAAAATTTGCATAACTTGCAATGGTGTATTCAGGGCGCATTTTTTGGTCAAAATTGGAATAGAAGTATACTCAAGTGGTACATTAAATGCCACCAGTAAAGAAAAAAAAAAAAAAACAACAAAACAACAAACAAGTGCTTGCCATGCAAGATACGCCCACATTTTGCAAGAGATGGACAGAAAACAAGCTAAGAAAAAGCGATTATTTTTGTATAATCTGGGGACATAATCCAGGAAATTATCTTATTACATACTTTTACATTATTTGAGTACTAGGGAGCGAACATTTTGTCGGGAAGTTTCAGTCTGATTTCACGAAATTCGCACTCAACCATCATTAGGTTGTAACACTGATAGATTTAAACATTTTTTAAAATCTGATAAAAACTGTGTGAAAATCAGGGGCAATAATTATAATCCAGCAAGTTGCTGTCTGATATGCGCAATTTTCAAAAGGAACCAAGATCTTTTGGATATAATCATACATTTCAAGTTTTATCTAAATTGGACACTAACATTGTGACCTCTACAATGTCCACAAGCTTAAAAAACAACTTTTCGTACAATCAGGAGCCATAATCTATGAAGTTTCGATCCGATACATGCAAATATCGAAAAGAATTAAAATCAGACAGACAGGAGCGACGTATAAAAACTTTTAGTAGGTGAATTAGTTGTAAAGAGAAACAAACCTGCTACTTTTATAGGATTAGATGCTAGGGTATAAGTTTCCGAACCCAGTGTAGCCTTAAAGACAATAACCCGATCATTAGGTGGTACGGTGTTACTTGGATGTTCATGATACAGAGCTTCTGCTGTTAATAATCCTTTAAAAGCTTGAAGATCACCCAAGGTAGTAGAATCACCACAATAGAATCTGAAGAGAAAAAAATCAATTGAAATCATTGTCAGGTCAATAAATCCACATAGATGCTGTGCTGAGAAATGGTCAAGTCAAACCATCTCTTACTCAGGCCAGGAAAATTGAAGTCAAATAAGAATCCATCCACCCAACTTTCTTACGCTATATAATATAGGCCTACAGTACCAGTACCTGAGATAACCTAGATATTCACTGCACACATTACTCTAGGCATAGCTGACCTGTATCTTTATCATTCAAAATATTACATGATATAAAAAATACATCCGATGCATCACTTGAATAAGACCAAAATGAAATGAAATGGGATTTGTCCTACTGTTCTGCTCCTACTGGGCTAATGAAGACAGGCTATGATGGAAATCTTGCCCAGCACTATGCCCAGGGATCTTTTACATGCACGCCAATGTATACACGGATCTTCTATTTTTCATCTCATCTCAATAACTAGACAGCTGTCCTTTTCAGGCCCTATGTTCTGCAAACTGACAAGGGGAAACCATCCCGAAAATCCCAATAAACTTTATCGACCAATGCAGAGATCAAATCATTATTAAACACTTCTTGTCTTGTATTTATATAGTACGTAGACTCAATTATCAACCCTGATAAATGTTATTGAAAATTATAATTGTAATTTGATATCAGAACCATGCAACCACTGATTTTTAAAGTGAATTCCTGTCAAAAGCATGAATCAACAGATTAAAGATAAATGTAAAACAGCCACACATGAGTCTAACAAAATAAAAACATCCCTCCTTCATCCGATTTCTTTGGGGGGGGGGGGGATTGTCGGAAAAAGAGAATAATTTTTTGTACGGCCATATAATATTTAACATACTTAGCCTTTCGCCGATCTCGTCTTTTAGGGTAACCAACATTATAAGCCCACTGACAAAGTTTTCCTCCCGAGGTCTTCCATGTGTCTACCGCACCAGCAACATTATCATGTACATTCTTGTCGACTGTTGTTACTGTAAATTCTATTGAGGCTAAATCGCCAGTTGTCACAGTAACACCGCTATTTTGAATATAAGCTTCGATTGGCTTACTAATTCTTTGTCCCAAGGAAACTGAATATATGAGGTCTTTGTCAGCAGGAGGTGTTGAAGGGGGATTAAATCCAGTTCTCCACACAAGTGCTATCTGTCCACTGGCCAATCCTGAAAAAGAATGAATACATACATACAGGTAATAATTATAAATGACAAACTGAATCTGAAGTCACTTTCAGTACTGCAAACTTATTGTATTCATGTAAATTTAAATACACTATGCAAGAGATATATTGCAGGTCTTTCTTTAGGCCTGGAATGTTATATAAACTATTAATTAGACATTAAATTATTAACAAAACAAGAACATAATCAACTCTAGATGGCATTGGATACTCAAGATTTTAACTAGGCCTAGGTTAGAAGTTGGGGTTCGCCATTTAAAAATGGGAAAGTGAGGCTAAGTCTCGAATATACCAGGGCCCGGTTTCACGAAATTTTAACTAAAGATAAAATCCAAATTTTAGTAGATACTAAATTTTGATTGGCTAAGCACTAAAAACAATCTAATATTATCCAGTCAAATTACTAAAATTTGGATTTTATCTCAGTTAAAATTTCGTGAAACAGGCCCCAGTGCACTGGATACCACAATGCACAAACTAGGCCTACAGTGATAACTTGGCTCAGAATGAAGTAATTTGAATGAAATATTCAATATTTTCATTTTACATTATCTATTTTTGAGCTAGCCTAGATTAGGCTATAGCAAGATAAGAATGGTCAGCTCTTTATCTAAATCTTACCTAATTAATGTATCTTTAAATACCATATTTTCAGTGAATATTATTATATCAGTTTAGGCAAATAACCAACATTAATATTGTGAAACAAAGCGACAAGCTAAAACCATTTCAATTTGTTAGGCTACTTACCCTTGCACAAAATGCACATTATTGAATTTAATCAAGGTAGATCTCTAGGACTCTAGGTTACTGGTACATTGATTTTGATTGTTTCTATGTGTTTGAAGTATATGTTTGTGATATGCGATTAGAAACACTTCACGTGTAATGAAGCGCTATATAAATCGAACAATAATAATAATAATTTAAATTAATTGATGTAGGCCTACTTTTATATTGTTAAGTTTCATTGCTGCCCCTCCATAGATGATAGAATCAAGAGGATCATGTGGCTAAGTGGGTAAGACGCTGGCTCGCTAGCCTAGAGGTCGTGTGTTCGATCCCTGCATTGGCCAAGAAAGTTCATTCAGATTTTCCAGTGTGGTTTCTCCTTGTCAGTGACGCAGGATGGAGGGCCTGACAAGGACAGCTGTCTAGTTGTTCGGGTGGGACGAAAAACTGAAGTCCTGTGTACACATTGCCATTGGCGTGCACGTAAAAGATCCCTTGGCAGTTGGAATTCGATATGAGAGTAGGCCGTAGCACCGCTGCCCGGGCAAAATTTCCCTCATAGCACACTGTATATGGCCGTCTTCATTAGCCCAGGTTAGGAGCACGTGGCTAAGTGGGTAAGACGCTGGCTCGCTTGCCTGGAGGTCGTGTGTTCGATCCCTGCATTGGCCAAGAAAGTTCATTCAGATTTTCCAGTGTGGTTTCTCCTTGTCAGTGACGCAGGATGGAGGGCCTGACAAGGACAGCCGTCTAGTTGTTCGGGTGGGACGAAAAACTGAAGTCCTGTGTACACATTGCCATTGGCGTGCACGTAAAAGATCCCTTGGCAGTTGGAATTCGATATGAGAGTAGGCCGTAGCACCGCTGCCCGGGCAAAATTTCCCTCATAGCACACTGTATATGGCCGTCTTCATTAGCCCAGGTTAGGAGCAGAATAGTAGGACGTTAAACCCCATTTCAATTTTTTCATTTCATTTCATTTTTCATAGAATCAGAGTTAGGCCTAACGACTTAATAACCATTCCAAAGCATCATCAAACCAAACTACGTCAAGATATTGAAATCATCTTTGTCTCCAAATGATATCCTGCAGAACAAACTGTCTGGGCACAATGTGAATGTCAATGTCATGTCATTTGGATAGGCTAGTCAAGCGGCAAGACAATCTTGCACTAGGCATAGCCTACAATTTAGGCCTATGGCAGAGTAGTCTGTAGATAAAGACTTCGGATAAGCCTTGGTTAGAAAATATCAACCACAGAACTTAATAAACATTTATATCTCTAATCTACCTGTGACCAGAAGAATTAATAGTAGTTTTAACATCATTCTCTATCACTCCAACCTCATCACCAGTCGCCTTGTCCGGGCGATTACATCCAACTTCGCGCCTTTTGTTGGCTTAAGGGGTTGTCGTTTGACGTCATCGATAAGCCTTATTTGGCATAAGCGCGGGAAAATATTCCAAATTCGGTAAAACTAGTCTCGGTCATTCAAGACTATATTTCTCAACTCCAACAACAACGAAAAATATAGGCTGGAATGATCAAGATTATGTAAGCGCGTTGCACTGTTAAAGCCTTCGCACAAGATCGTAATTAAAAAAGTTATTGAGCATTTCCAAAATAATCTATCACCGTCCTGTGCTGATCATGCGTACGTACTAGCTGCAATATTACATACCCAACCATCTAAACACTGAATCTATTATAATAGAAGTCAAGGTATCGACAACATTTCTGACCTGTTATTAAATTTGATTAATAATGGGGAAGGGGGTGGACTGTTATATGTGGGGGGGGGGGGGGGGGGTAACAACGGTTCAAAAAAGGATGAAAACCACGTCCTAATTCATGATTTGTTAGACCTATTTACAGTGGTTGGCATTTGCATAAACGATAAATTATAGATCGCCTTATAAGGCTATATATATATATAAAGGGCCTAGACAGCAGCTTACATACCAATAAAGAAAAACTTGGAATGAAGGAATGAAATGTGGTTTAATGTCAAAGATTCTTTACGTGCATAGCAAGGTGTACACGGGACCTCGGTTTTTTGTTCCATCCGAACGACTAGACACTCTTCCCTGTCAGATTACCCGTCCTACACAAGTTTACACAACTGACAAGAGAGAGAGAGAGAGAGAGAGAGAGAGAGAGAGAGAGATGGGGTTTAACGTCTACTCAACACAGACTAGGTCATTTCGTGGTTTAATTTTATTTCAATAATTCGTTTGCGCGTAGGGATCTTTAGCAGTGGGAGGAAACCGGAGGACCCGGAGAAAACCCACGAGGTTGGACATGCAACCCTACTCCTTGTCACGTACAACCGGGGATTCGAAACCACGCCAGTTGACTCGATGACAGGTCTCATGATACAGCACGCACGTGCTAACCATCCGACCACCCAACCCCCCAACCCCCCACTGACAAGAGGAAACCGCGCCGGAAAATTCTGGTTTGTGAGCTATAGGCCTATATATAGCGCATTCTTCAGATGATTGTAATAAATGAAAATGTACCTAACTGTCAAAGGAACTTGACAGAAAAACTTGGATATCGACCAAATTTTGAAATCTTGGCAGATAAATCCAAAATTTTAGTACATGCTTCAATTTTGATTGGCTAAGTACTAAAATCAATCTAATATTATCCAATCAACATATTGAAATTTGGATTTTATCCCAGTTAAAATTTCGTGTGTCTATCGTGTGTAAGCCTATCGGACACATAATATATCTCTGGAACCGAAACTCAGCAGCGGTCATACTCTCCGATGCAATGGATGCTTCACACCAAATTTAAAAATCAACACAGTTCATCCTCAGGTTGAAATACAATAAAGTTCATCCACTCGCGGTCCTAATCCTTTACACCAACCTTGGGGTAAAAAAATACATTAAATACTGTTCAAGCCCATATGCGTTAGGTATGGAAGGGAAGGTCGAGGAACGCTGAAGGTTGATGTCAGAAATGAAATGAAATGGGGTTTAACGTCCTACTGTTCTGCTGGGCTAATGACGACGGGCATACGCCATACAGTGAAATTTTCTCGGCCAATGCAGGGATCGACCCCCCGACCTCCAGGCTAGCGAGCCAGCGTCTTACCCACTTGGGGGATCGCGTGGCTAAGTGGGTAAGACACTGGCTCGCTAGCTTGGAGGTCGGGGGGTCGATCCCTGCATTGACCGAGAAAGTTCATCCAGATTTTCCGGCCTGGTTTCCCCTTGTCAGTGATGCAGGATGCAGGATGGAGGGCCTGACAAGAACAGCTACCTAGTCGTTCGGATGGGACGAAAAACCGAGTTCCCGTGTAAAAGATCCCTTGGCAGTTGGAATTCAATATAAGAGTAGGCCGTAGCGCCGCTGCCCGGGCAAAATTTCCCTCATAGCACACTGTATGGCGTATGCCCGTCTTCATTAGCCCAAGTTGGGAGCAGAACAGTAGGACGTTAAACCCCATTTCATTTCATTTCATTTGTCTTACCCACTTAGCCACCATCAACCTTGCATTAAAGATTCGTGTGCCAATTTTAATATTTTCATTTTGTCTTAAATATTGGATATCAAAAGCCCAACTATTCACAGTAAAACAACATCAATGTTGTTTTAATTTGCAATGTTGTAGACATAGCTCCTTGAAGAGAAGAGAGGTCAGGTGCAGGGTGGGGGGTATAGGGGGCCTCCAGTCAGAAAGTTTTGAAAAACATAATGTGGTCTTACAAGTGAAATTCCACTCTATATACCCACCTGAATTCAATATATTTGGAAGAGGTTGGAAACGCAAATAAAACGCAGTCGAGGTCAGAAGATGCAAAGTGCTACGTCGAAAGATATGAAATATTGGGGTGGGGATGCCTCCCTCAGAAAATTTTAAAAATGAGTGTGTTTTCCTGTTAATTCAGCCCGCGAGTACAGCAGTTTAAAGGCACCATCCTGATTTGAACAGAGTCTCAGAAATAAAGGTCTGTGTACGTATGAAATCTAAGAGCCAAAATATAGAGGAATGGTGTATTTACATTGTCTCAAAAATTTAACTAAAAATATTGAGTCGTGTGGACGTGAACATCAAAATTGCTTATCCGGACACGTAAACCTTTATAGTCGGTCGCAAAATCAGTGCAGTTGGTAGCAAACTAAGAGCAGCCGGTATCAAAATAAGTGCTCACTGCATACGTCACGCTACTCACGCAAAACTTTAGTATAAAATAACCTTGTCATTTGAAAAAATGTTGTGTTTCACTCTTATTCTGCTGTGAGTATGTTGGTATATGAACAAAATTTCCCCCAGGGAGAAACATAAGTGCAGTCCCTGCAGTCGGTCTCAAAATTATGCATCGGCGACTCAATGAATTAATGAGGTAAACAAACAATGCCAGAATAGATCCCAAATACTATGTATTTACGTGAATCCGTGAGCCTAAATTGCATACGTCACACAAAACTATAGTATAAAATAACCATGTCTTTGAAAAAATGTTTGTCACTCTTATTCTGTTGTGAGTATGTTGTTCTATGAAATGTTTTTCCCCCCGTGGCAAAAAAAATAGTCGGTCTCAAAAAAAGTACTCAACGCAGTCGGTCTCAGACTAAATGAATTAAAGAGGTAAACAAACAATTACAAAACAGGCGAAATTGACAGATAGGCCACAAGATTCTGTCTCATTTCTTATTCTCTCGTTAGCGAGAATTTGGTTCCATTTGCCATGACAATGACTAAAATTTTCAGGCCCGGTACCGAAAAATTAAAAGCTCAGTTACATATCTGAATTTTTTTCGCGCCTGCGGCGTTCGATTCCGTTAAAAAAAATTTCTTCTATTCCTCTGTTTTCTTATACTTTCTCAGCACTATCATATTCATAGTGAACTGCCCAGTTATACTGGTGTGTGGGTCGTGGGGCGTCAGATTTTACAACAATTTTTCAAAATTTTCTCAGGTTGCTCAGTGTTATAGGCACACTCATCATATATGACATAAACTTTATAACTGCTTTCCGGCGAGACAACGATCGGCGAACAATTATATAATTATACAGTACTGTCTATATGTTCTACCGGGACGCTTATTGTTATAGCCAGTATTTTGTTGACATTCATTGTGGGGTGGAATTGTGGATGGTGCCCTAGATTTGGAACCACCCCATCCCACCCCCTATTCCCAGCTTCTAGATCCGCTCTGCACATGGCCCCTAGAAAACTCGCACCTGTGGTGCGCGGCTCCTGACTGCGTCGCTCGTACTGTGGGTATATATGTGCATCAGTCGGTCGCATTTTGGCTAAACACCCCCCCACACACAAAATCGTTATGTACGCCCCTGTGCATGGCCCAAGTGTTGTACTTGATAACGAAAGGTAAATTTCATCTACACATTATTTTTATAAAATAAAAGTCTGATTTTATCCAGACACCGTATAATACAGCTTGGGACACCGGTCTCCATTTCCAAATGAAGACTGACGGGTTTAACTTGTTTGAAAACGTATAACGTATATTGAGTTAGTTGCTCGGCCCCAAGGCAGTGGATTTTAAGGGCTTTTAACACATAATTAAGCAGTTTCATTCTCCAAAATATAACCGAGATTAGCCCTTTAAAACAGTTCTAATATAGTCGTATTTCTGTCGCTTTGCAACTGATATATTACCACTCTTTGACCACCTGAATTCTGACCACCCAATCCATCAGACCGTCGCTAGATTTTGATGAAGTGGTGCTATTCCACTTATATGAGGCTTCTATCAAACCTCCAGGCTCACGACTAGAGCGAGATGAAAGGCAGAAAGTGTGTGAAAACATAATGATGATGGATGTTCAAGACTACAATGCATATAAAATATAGGTGGCCAGGAAACGAAACATACGCCCACAGCAGCGAAGTCGTCCGAATAGTTCATAAAAGGTTGTCTCATTTTATGATTTTGTTGGTAATGGGGGCATTTTCAAGACCCTAACAAAATTAGGAAAGATTTTTTTTTAAAGGGCTAATCCGCATAATTTTTTGGAGAATAAAACTGTTTAATTTTGTTTTAAAATCCCTTAAAATCCTTTACCTAAATGCCGAGCAACTAACTCAATATTTGTGATAAGTTTTCAAATAACTGAAACCCGTCATTTGTCACCTGGAAATGACTCAATATTTTGAGCTGAAATTTTGAGATACGGTAAACACACCATTTCTCTATATTTTGGCGTTTAAATTTCATACGTATACTCAGACTTTTATTTTTGAGACTCTGTTCAAATAAGGGATAGTCCCTTTAAAATCAACATCAAGTATCATCAAGTTGGTGCTGATCTAAAAAAAAACAAAAAAACATTACTAAGTTTATTATTTAGTAGTAGATTAATGAGTGAGCTTAGAGTTAATTGATGTTGTTAATCGGGTATATCAGGACTTATGACAGTGTCAAAGATATTATCCGGCACCGAATCCGACTGTTGCAGCTGCATTCATCTGACACCAGAAATTTAAGTACTCGAACAAATGACAAAGCAAATGATTATGATGCCCCCAAAAAAAACCTTGTTTAAAATCCATGGAACCGCGGCCTATTATAGTGAGCGCCGAAACAAATAATGATAATGCCCGAAAAAATATCGCGCAAATAACTAATCAGAACGACTATCAAGAGTGACTTTGATTTTAAATGTTTCAGATTTTAATCCATTGGTCAATTTGTAGAAATTACGATTCCTGAAAAATTGATGAAACAAATAATGATCGATTCCTGAAAAACTGATGAAGCAAATAACGATCGATGCCCGTTGCTGTTTGGAAAGGTTTTAATTTTGTAGACTTACAGTTGGTGATGTTTAATCGATTTAGAAATTGCTTTTATAGACCTACATATTTTTTTTTAAAAATACCAAAACAGCAAGATACCATTTCAGGCTAATTTGGAGCCATAATGGTGTTTGTCATCCAAAATGAAAGTTCTTGCCCCCCCCCCCCAAAAAATAAATTTTAAACCCAAAGCTTATACCCCAAACACCCCTCAACCCCTACCCCAAAGAAGTTCCTTCGGATTTCCAACTTGATTTCCCTTTGCCAGTAGGGCAGGACCTGGCAAAAAACGACGCGTAGTCCTTCATATGGGACGATAAAAACCGAGACCCTACACATTGGAGTGCGCGTAAAAAAACCGGCAAAAAAAACCCATTGACACTTGAAAAGCGGAAAAGCCAGTGTGTGGGCAAAATTTCACTCATATATAAAGCATACGCGCTGCATGGCGTATGTCCGTCTTCTGACTTTGTGCGCGCTGCGCGCTGTATCATAAGGCATGTCATTGAGTTAACTGGCGTGATTTCGAATCCCCGGTTGTACGTGACAAGGAGTAGGGTCGCCTGTCCAACCTCGTGGGTTTTCTCCGGGTCCTCCGGTTTCCTCCCACTGCTAAAGACCCCTACTCGCAAGCGAATTATTGAAATAAAATTAAACCATATGTTCGTCCCGAAATGACCTAGTTTGTGTTGAGTGAACGTTAAACCCCATTTCTCTCTCTCTCTCTCTCTCTCTCTCTCTCTCTACTGACTTTATCATTATCCCGGTTGTTTTATACAGTAAAAGTGTAGGACGTAAACGGTAAACCCCATTTTATTTTCAATTAGGCGATTGTAGGATCGGGTTCAATGCGCATATCGCTGATCTATATCGATCAGTGGTTTATGTGCACCGTGGTAAACCCGGAACTTTTCATGGTACCCTAAGCACGTGCTTATTTCGCTTCATGCCATCAAAATTCAAATATCCACGAACAAAGTCAACAAAACGCAAGTAGCGGAATGTATTTCTAAAAATAGAAATGACTAAGCCAATCGGGCACTGTTCTTCACTCTGAGCCAATTAACAATTCCGTTACTTCAAGTTTAGGCTTGCTTAGTGACACAGTTGTTGTATCAACACGATCAACAAGGCGATTTGGAAGAACGAAAAGCACCTGTTTTTGCCTTGATATATATGCTATTAATACTAACTGTACCTGGCTTTGGTGATACATGTATACTATGTAATGTAATACCCATATATTTGCGTTTAATTTATTTCGATTTCGAATGATTGCAAAGCCATAAAAAATGGAACGTACGTTCGTTTTTTAAACAAAACATTTCGTCTGCTAGCCACAACAGTGACAGTCATAATATAGGCCTACTACGAGCGGTCAACGGTAAAGAAAGACCTTTATTCTGTCTTATGGAACTAGTGATCGTGCAAGTTCATGCTTGTAACCTGATCAAGACTATAAGCTTAACAGTTTGTTTAAAGTATATAGGAATATAGTTTGGTTTCTCGGAAGGAATTAACGAATTGTTCGTGGACTTATAACTTATTAGCCGCACTCAGCATCTTGTGTTTATGTCAGTGACTCATCAAATAGAATCTACCTACACAGTTGGGAAACCTCCAAGCAAGTGAATTATCTATTGAAGTTCTGTTGATTTAGAAGTGTTAATTAACTGTTATTAATTTTAGTGCATGTTTTGTTGTTTTCTTAAATTCAGATTTTGATCGAAAATTGTGTATTTCACAATGATTATTATGAAGAATTACTTACTATTGGAATATAATTAAAATAAAATGATGCCTGGAAACTTTCTACCACAGCCTCCTTCGAGACCAAAATTAACAGGGGGTAAAAGGGCACCATCATGCCCCCTGGCAATGTCAATTAGCTCTAGTGAAAGTGATGAAGAAGAAAATAATGTTTCTATGGAAAAGACACCAAGCCCCAGAATCAGTCTCGATCTAGGAAATTTGAAATCTAGTCCACGATCAAAAGTTGAAAAAAGTGAAAATGATCATGGTAGCCCCAGCCCTTGTAGTGATTCATCCCGAAACCCTTCAGCTGTGTCAAATTATGCGACAGAACATGATCATGACTATGAAAATATAGCATCACCGTGTAGTAGTACGGCTAGTGGACCAACTTATGTGCGGCCACCAGGTTTCGAACATCATGCTCAAGAAATTGTCTCAAATTCCAAAATCAAGAAGAAAAAAACAGCATTATTTCCGTCCAGAGAGAATTTAAGAAAGCGTGAACAAACAGTAACACCTCCTAAAGTTAAACCAAAAAGAGGTCAGTAAGATTTGATAAGATAAAATAAGATGTTTATTGCATCAAAACATCCATTATGGACAGCATGCATACATATACACTTAGACATAGTCATATATTAATAATACATATTACATAGACAACTCAGTACATTCATACAAACAGTAAACTACATGTATATTAAAGGGGTTTCAGTTAGATATAGTTGCCACCAAATTTGATTTGGCTCTCTTATCAAAAGCCCAAAACACATATAAAACCACTGCCTTGGCAATCAATTTTGGTGGGTTAAAGAGATTAAGAAAATTGTAGGAAATCTTAGGATTTGCAGAGAAGGTTGGGTATAAATGGGCTTGGCATATTTCTCCATACTTGCTACAGTATAGTAAAAAATGTTGCTCATTTTTGATTGAGTTTAAATCGCAAAATAGTGCTTAGCCAATCAAAAATGAAGTATCTACTAAAATTTGGATTTTATCATGAGTTAAGATTTCGAGAAGCAGAGCCCTGGTTTCACAAAGCATTCTCAGATTTAAGTTAAGAATTTACTCAACTTTCAATCACTGTTTATGAGAAATATCTTTGATCCAGAAAAACAAAAATTTGCACATAGTTTCTTATTGATGTATTTGATACATTAAATTAAAACAACAAAAGTTTTATAAAGGGCTTTGTTTTAGTTAAAATAAGGCAAACAATTTTGAGTAAATTCTTGATTAAGTCTGAGAATGCTTTGTGTACTTGTGTCCAGGTCAAAATTATTCAGAACTAACACAGGGTACCAGTTTTTATCAATAATTTGATTGTGCTTAGGGGTCTTTAGCAGTGGTAGGGAACCGGAGGATCCAGACTCTGGGGAAACCCTACTCCTTGACCTTGTCACATATGTGGGATCAAAATCACGCCCCTTGACCCCAAATGTAACAAGAACTTGATATCCTTTTAACTCAATCTGATTAAAATACAAATCTATATTTCGTTTCGTTTTTTTATACTTTCGATGGCCTCTACTACATGAAGATCTGACCAGTTGTAGTGGGAGGTCTGTCAGGGAACACACGTGCGGCTTTTGACCCTATGACATCAGACATTTGTTTAACCAATCAGCATTGATGTTTCTAGTAGGATACCCACAGTTCCATGCATCGCATGCAAAGAATTCGCTGCAACAGATCGTTTCACTGGCTAATACCTCACATCAACTAGAACGCCTGTTATATAACAACTCTTCCAGAGCCTATTGTAGTAAAGACAAGTAAAACTCACCGGAACAGACTGTTTCATTGGCCAATCCCTCACATGAATCAGAACACAGGTTATATAACAACTCTTCCAGATCCTAGTGTAGTGAAGACAAGTAAAACGAAATTTTGAACTATAAAAAACGAAACGAAATAGGATCTGTGTTTTAATCAGATTGCTATTTTAATAAATGCAAGAAATATCTATTAGAAACGGGGGGGGGGTCGAATGGTTAGCACATGCGTACTGTATCATAAGGTCTGTCATTGAATCAACTAGAGAGGTTTCGATTCCCCGGTTTTACGTGACGAGTAGTATCGCCTGTCTAACCTCGTGGGTTTTCTCCGGGTCCTCTGGTTTCCTTCCACTGCTAAAGACCCCTACTCGCAAGCGAATTATTGAAATAAAATTGAACCATATGTTAGTCCCGAAATGATCTAGTTTGTGTTGAGTGGATGTTAAACCCGATTTCTCTCTATCTATTAGAAACATTCAATTAGTTGTTAGAATTTTAATTTACAGGCGATAATTTAAAGAAGCATTAGGTAAGATTTAGATGAAGAGCTACATGTAACCATTCTTGCTATAAATAGTTCAAATATAGATAATGCAAAATGAATATATTGAAAATTCCATTCAAATTACTTATTCTGATCTAAGTTATCAATGGTTGTAGTTTTGGCAAGACGTGTGCATTGAGGGTACTACTGTCATTCGAGTCTCAGCCTTGCTTCTCCATTTTTAAATTAAATCATCAAATGGCCGAACAGTTCTAATCTACTTACAATTGGAGCCATCTGATGGCATCGAGAGTTGATTAATTAATTATATATATAAAAATTAAGTCCCAATAGGCAGATTTAGCTCTTACATAATGCCTGTGTAATAATCAATCTGAATACATATTAATGGATCAACTACTTAAGTATGTCAAAAAACCCACTCTTTCTGCAAACTAAATGTATTATGATTAAATAATAAAAAATAGAGATAGAGAAATGGGTTGTAACGTCCACTCGACACAAACTATGTCTTTAGCAGTGGGAGGAAACCCGAGCACCCGGAGAAAACCCACAAGGTTGGACCCTACTCCTTGTCACGTACAACCAGGGAATCAAAACCCTGCCAGTTGACTCAATGACAGACCTTGTGATACAACGCGCATGTGTTAACCATTAAGCCATCCAACCCCCCTTTTTAAAAAATAGCAATGAGTGAACTTATGTTTCCTTTAAAGACAAGCAGATCTTTAAAAAATGTTAAACTATATAACTCGCTATAAAACATCAATATCATCAATAATCAAAGAACTTTTCTTTTAAAAAGAATCAAAGACAGGCAGTTTCCATTTTCCTTTAAAGACAAGTGGAACTTTAACAAAATTAAAAATCCGGATTCTATTTAAATCAATTTTTTGGGGTCCTTTAATTTATTGTTGTAATATAAGTAGATAAGTAATAGTATGATATAATTACTATATTTATATCGGATATTTAATCTGTTAAAAATAACTCAACCAATAGGATTAACAGCAAATAATGGATTATAAATATTATGATGTAGTCAAGCAGTGATATAATGATAAAGGATTTATTGTAGGCCCACAGTGTTTTTAATTGTATATCACATGATACAGTTATAAGTATAGGAAATATTGATCAAATAATATAGGGCGTTTATTTCGTGCTACATTTATGTACACATTTGATATAACATAAGAACAAGGACATGACCCCAATGGGGCCCAATCACAGCGGTAACGCAAAAGCCTTCTTTTAAAGATGGGTTCCCAGAAAAGTATTTATCGGGTGGTTATTTCCAATAAAAGTATGGTAATTTTGGTATATATGGAAAGTAGAGATATCCAATCTTACTAGAAAAATACTGGATTCCCCGAAAAACACTCATAGAGTGTATACAGGACAAAAATGTAAGGGTTTCCCTAATCAACAGCCCGACGATTAGGAATTTCTGCATGTGTGATGTCAAAGGTCACACGCGAACATTGAGCGCTTGATGTACAAGTTGATAAACTTTATGAAGAGTTAGACGTGCAACACTTCCTGAGATAAAAATGACGGAAAAAGACGCGGGTAGTGGATAATCCGAGAATTTAATTAGGATTCGATATTTGTAATAAATAGTAAGCAATTAAAGACAGCATCGTCTTATGTATGCAATGAATTCTCCTCTGACTTCCAAGAGAGGTAAGTCACGTGACGTAAACATGACCTGGTTTGATCGAATTTTTATAGCAGGACATTCCTTCGCAAATACAATGTTTGAGAAGGATTTGAAGCAAAGTTATGACAAATTAATTAGTTTGAATATGTTTTTAGTCCATATATACCATTAAATCACCAAGTTTGTACGCGGGAACCCATCCTTAACTATACAAGATGACTGATCTTTAAGTTCACGGGCTTTATACATGTAGGTCTACTTGTGATGTCATATCATACGGCCTCGAATGCATGGGGGTTATTTACATCGGACGTAGTAACTCAAACTCGCCCAGGCAGAATCGGTACCTTTTACTCATTTTGCTCCTTCATGTACTATTTTATATATCCATTTGTACTATATAGGAAATAGTTTTTTTATCATTTAATAATTTAAAAAATTGTTTTAAAAGCAGAAGAAAAAAAAAGGATAATATAGAATATCATGGAATTAAACAATTTAAAACCTGCTTTACGATTCCTAATCCCATATTTAGTTAGACATTTCTTTATTACATTAAGTGCTTTTAAAGCTTGTTGAGCAAGATTTGTGCAACATAAATTCCATTTTAATCTGCTGGAGAAATTGATTCCTAAATATTTATAGTGAGACACAGCTTCAATTTCTGACCCCATGAAAAAAAAACACTTTTCTTTTCTTGATAACACACCCCCATTCTTGAATACAACAATATTTGACTTTTCTACGTTTACAGACACATTCCATTGCTTACAATAATTCTCTAAAACATTTAATCTGTCATGTAGGTTGCCAATACTGTCAGCAACTATTTATTTGATACATTAAAACAACAAAAGTTTTATAAAGGAAAGGGCTATATTTTAGTCTAAATAAGGCGAACAATTTTGAGTAAATTTTTAACTCGAGACCTGGACATGTGGTAGGGTGACCCATGCACTCTACAGAAATACAGTCCACCGCTGACAGTTCGAGACTACCACTGAAGCGTGCACATTCGCCGTGCCGAGACCAACTTTCTGACAGTATGATACTATAAATAGCCATGGCACGTGCAATTCTCTACAAATCTATCAACTATTACAGCTGTAAAAAAATTTATTGTTGACGATTTTGAATAGCAGTAAAATTAAGCTTCTTGATTATTACAGCAGATTTAGAAATTACGTTCGTTTCATTTTTTAAATCGCTTTATCATTAACTGTACCGTTAAGAGCGGTATCTTTTGGTTTAGTACAAATAATATCTCTGAATCACTCGGGTTAGACAGGAACATGATACTAGCAGTAGTTTCATTTTACTTTTACAAGCTTCTTAAAACGATTGTTGAGCTACCTAACGTGCTTATTTCTAAATTCAATTTCTTGTTCTAGCTTTCTGTTATGTTTCGTAAAAAAGTAGTCTTGATTATCCCGGATGTAGAAATGGTTGATAGACTGGTTAAGCGAGACTAATTTCAAAACAAGGGCACGTGACCTATCTTTTACTCAAAAGTGTCTGGATGTTATGGACGACTCTTGGAACCAGTTTTCAGTCTATTATTTATACGTGATTAATGGTCATAGCTTATTAAGTACAACATGATCGTTTATTTAGTGACTATAATTGTGTGAAACTGATTTGAGGCTTGCATATATATAAATATTGTGGCGTAATTGTCGAGATATATGGAGATATTTATTTATGGTGGGTCACCCTACATGTGGCCCAGGACTGGAAAAACGGCACCTGTCACTGACAATGTCAAACACAAAACCTTCGAAGCCTGACATTTTTTCCGGCTCTGATTTATGTTTTTTATTGATATTATTAAAACATGTCTGGCATTTTCTCAGGTACATGATTTCAGATGAAAACGAATTTAAACATGGTTAATTGTTTACTTTGGTCACAAAGCGAGGAGGTCAGTTTTGCCCAGAGAGAGGCCTGGGAGGCTACCTTTCAAGTTTCATCAAATTCCAGCTAATATTGGAACAATTATTCTTGTAGGGGTGGACCATGGCTTTTTGCCCCATTCGGACAACTAGGCACTTCTTACTTGACAACCCTGCAAATACCACCCGTTACAATAGAGAGACAGAGTTTAACCTCTACTTTACACAAATTAGTTCATTTTGGGACTAACATGTGGTTCAATTTTATTTCAATAATTCATTGTGTGTAGGGGTCTTTAACTGTACAAAGAAATTGGAAGACCCAGAGAAAATCCATGAGGGTGGGCCGGCAACCCTATTCCTTATCGCATAGGCTACAAGCTTGGGACCGAAACCATACCACTAGACGAGTAGACTCAATGACAGACCTTTTAATCTAAAGCTCATGTGTTACTGTTAGACCCAACCTCCTTGGCTTTCTCCTGGTCCTCTGATTTCCTTCCACTGCTAAAGACCCCTACGCGCAAGCGAATTATTGAAATAAAATTGAACCATATGTTAGTCCCGAAATGAACTAGTTTGTATCTAGTGGACATTAAACTCTCTCTCTCTCTCTCTCTCTCTCTCTCTCTCTCTACTGTTAGACCCAAGTTAGACCACTGAGGACAAAGTAAATAAATAATATTTTATAGGACCTCAATGTCAGTGACTTTTAAAAGGCCCTCAATCTCAATGACTTTAGGTCCTGAAAATGTCAATGAGTTTTAATAGATCATCAGTAGAATAACTTTTAATAGGCCCTCAATATCACAGTAAATGTAATGAAATGGGGTTTAACGTCCTACTGTTCTGCTCCGACTGTGCTCATAAAGACGGGCGTACGCCATACAGTGTAATATGAGAGTAATATTGCCTGGGCAGTGGCACTATCAAATTCTAACTGCCAAGGGATCTTTTATGTGTTTGACAATGTATACATAGGATCTCGTTTTTTTCGCACATCCGAATAACTAGTCAGCTGTCCTTGTCAGGCCCTGACAAGGGGAAACCACGTCGGAAAATCATGATGAACTTTCTCGGCCAATGTAGTGATCGAACACCCGACCTCCGGGCTAGCGTGCCAGTGTCTTACCCACTTGGGGGGTTGGATGGTCGAATGGTTAGCACGTGTGTGCTGTATTTAAAGGCCTGTCATTGAGTCAACTGGTGTGGTTTCGAATCCCCGGTCGTACGTGACAAGGAGTAGGGTCGCCTGTCCAACCTCGTGGGTTTTCTCTGGGTCCTGCAGTTTCCTCCCAATGCTAAAGACCCCTACGCGCAAGCGAATTATTGAAATAAAATTAAACCGAAATGACCTAGTTTGTGTCGAGTGGACGTTAAACGCCATTTCTCTCTCTCTCTCTCTTACCCACTTAGCCAAGGTGGCTCCCTCAATATCAAAGACGATCCAATGTCCATCGTATTGATATTATAAAGCAGGTATTAGTTGATTGATTGATGAAATATACGATCAAGGTGATGAACTTGACATTGAGCTGTGTATCTGATCTGAGAACAATACAACATGAAAATCAATAATATTGTAGAGAGGTCGGAACAGAATACTGACAAGTGGAATTAACTTCTTTTTTCGCTTGATATTCCAGTTCATCTAGGGAATTTCCTTCAGTATATGAGGTATATTAAATTGACTGGTGGGCTGGGTATTGGACAGGGGTACCTTCAAAGGGCAGGTTTAGATTTTTTTTGACTAATTAATACATGTAAATAATAATATAATATTTATTTCTTTATTATACGCATTACAGCATAAAAAAATCTCAATTCATAGTACAAAAACATAAAATATGATATAAATAAAAACATATAATATGACATAAAAACATATAATATGACATAAAGCTTAAACATACATTATGCAAGAGCTAAATCTGCCTATTGCAGGTCTTTCTTTAGGCCTGGAAATGTTATATAAATTATTAATTAGACATTAATTAACATGACAAGACCATAGTCAACTTATCCAGACCATAATCAACTCTAGATGTCAACGCTAGCCCGCGATATATTTACTGGATTAGGATCCTATTTGCTGCTCAACTTTCCTTTATGATTTAATCATGAAATGGATAACCAAGACTTTCTTTTTAATCGTACCGACTGTAGTAATGATGATCTAGGCTAGGCCGTAAAATTCAATCACTAAAATTTTGGTTCAGAGTGGATCAATTTTACTAAAATTTTCAGCAAATTGCCTTTACATTATCTAGTTTTTAACTATCATAGTGAGAACTACCAACTCGTTATCTAATCTCCCATAAATGTATCTTTAATAGTAGTGTAAGTGAATCTTGGTGGTAATACTGATAGATCCAATAGGATTAGATGTCTTATGTTTTAATGGGGGGCGGGGTGGTCGAATGGTTAGTGCATGCGCGTTGTAGCATAAGGTCTGTCATTGAGTCAACTGGCATCGTTTTGATTCCCCGGTTGTACGTGACAAGGAGTAGGGTCGCCTCCCCAACCTCGTGGGTTTTCTCCGAGTCCTCCTGTTTCCTCCCACTGCTAAAGCAAGTTATTGAAATAAAATTGGACCATGTGTTAGTCCCGAAATGACCTAGTTTGTGTCGAGTGGACTTTAAACCCCATCTCTCTCTCTTATGGTTTTATGAATTTTATTTTACTTATTCACAAAAATTTTAAATGGAGTTAATAACAGACAGAGAAAGGGTTAACATCCACTCGACACAAATTAGTTCATTTTGGGAATAACATCTGGTTCAATTTTGAGAGAGAGAAAAAGAGAGATGGAGTTCAACGTCCACTCGACACAAACTAAGTCATTTCGTGACTAACACATCTCCCTCTCTCCCTCTTATTAACCCTGAAGATATCTTTAAGTGATTTTTCTTATTATCTTACAGAACCTTTACCAATGAAATTGAGAGCCTTACCCCAATCATTCTGGCAGCAACCCAACATTCCCCATCAAGTATCACCTGGCAGTATATTTCCTATTTTACCACCTTTATCTATTAAAGATACGGGAGAAGATGTTACAGGTAAGGTATTCATATTTTTCGCTCTACTTGAACAGCATCCAAAACAACAAACAAAAGATTTGAGAGAGAGAGAGAGAGAGAGAGAGAGAGAGAGAGAGATATGTTCAGTTTTTTTTATCTATAATTCACTTACATGAAGGAATCTTTAGTACTGCACAAGGAAACAGGCAACCTTACTCCTTGTCACGTACAAGTGTGTGTATGAAAGTAAGCCATTTGACTCAATTACCAACCTTATGATCTAAAGTGCATATGTTAAACCATTTGGCCACATAACCCCTTCTTGAATTTCACCATAGCCATCATGGGGGGTTGGATGGCTGAATGGTAAGAGCGTGCGCACTGTATCATAAGGTCTTTCATTCAGTCAACTGGTGTGGTTTTGATTCCCCCTGTTGTACGTGACAAGGAGTAGGGTCGCTTGTCCAACCTGGTGGGTTTTCTCTGGGTCCTCCGGTTCCCTCCCACTGTTAAAGACCCTTATGCACAAACCCTATAATAGAACCATATGTTAGTCCCGAAATGAAATAGTTTGGGACAAGTGGACGTTAAACCCCCCCTCTCTCTCTCTCTCTCTCTCTCTCTCTCTCATATAGCCATCATTAGAGGTAATATGAATAGATATATATCTCTAGTCATGTATACTGTACTACCTGTATTCTATGTGTTTTATCTTATTAATATTGATTAAGCAACAGGTATTGATTATTTTTACCTGTTTAATACCTGAAACTATTATCTGTATACAGTAAACATTAGATGATCACATGAATGTCACCTGATTGCCATTGCATCACTAATCCTCTATATATATACAATGTATCTTCCCTTTCATCTTGTTATTGTTCTGCATGGCTTCATCTTTGTTATTGTTTGTCTGTATTATTGCTGAATATAATCCTTGAGTGGCATTTAGCAATTGAGCACATTAAAAAACACAACACAATTCATTACCATTTGTACTTGAAAACGATAAGAGAATACTTGTCGAAACGTCGTTCTATATGTTTTTTTTGTATTATTGCCGTACACATATATTACTGTATTGGGGGGATGGAATGGCCTAATGGTCTAGAGTGTGAGCGTATGTGGCTTGGAGATGGTGGCACTGTTTCAACCCTTGTGGGTTTAATCCGGGTACTCCAATTTCCTCCCACAGGAAAGACCCCTGTGCATGCACCTAGATAATAAAGATAAGACAACTAGTCTGTGATACCCCCTCGCCCTCGGTGGAAGTGGATGTTAGACACCAGGAACAACTAGTCTGTGATACCCCCTCACCCTCGGTGGAAGTGGATGTTAGACACCAGGAACAACTAGTCTGTGATACCCCCTCACCCTCGGTGGAAGTGGATGTTAAACACCAGGAACAACTAGTCTGTGATACCCCCTCACCCTCGGTGGAAGTGGATGTCAAACACCAGGAACAACTGGTCTGTGATACCCCCTCACCCTCGGTGGAAGTGGATGTTAAACACCTGGAACAACTAGTCTGTGATACCCCCTCGCCCTCGGTGGAAGTGGATGTTAAACACCTGAAACAACTAGTCTGTGATACGATACCCCCTCACCCTCGGTGGAAGTGGATGTCAAACACCAGGAACAACTAGTCTGTGATACCCTCTCTCCCTTGGTGGAAGTGGATGTTAAACACCAGGAACAACAATAACAAGTTACTCTACTTACTTGAAGGAGGGTTGAGTGGCCGAATGGTTAGTGTGTGTGTGTTGTATCATAAGGTCTGTCATTTGAGTCAACTGGCATGGTTTCGATTCCCCGGTTGTATGTGACGAGGAGTAGGGTCGCCTGTTCAACCTTGCAGGTTTTCTCCAGGTCCTCTGGTTTCCTCCCACTGGTAAAGACCGCTACGCACAAGTGAATTATTGAAATAAAATTGAACCATATGTTAGTCCCAAAATGACCTAGTTTTGTGTTGAGTGGACGTTAAACCCCATCTCTCTCTCTCTAGATTTTTTCTAGTCCAGATCAGTTCAAATCAGTTGATCTGTGAAACTAATTAGTAACTGAATGTGATTAAATATGCCACAATATATTAATTAAGAAATAAATCCTATTCAAGGGATAAGAGTCGCAGTGGCTATTAGTAAAATGTTTTTGAACTAACCTGAAGGTCTGGTGTTCGATCCTTGCATTGGTCGAGAAAGTTCATTGTGATTTTACCAATCTAATTAAAATATAGATCTATATTTTGTTACGTTTTTTATACTTTCGATGGCCTACACTACATGTAGATCTAACAAGTTATAGTGGGAGTTCACGTTCTATGACGTCAGGTACCAAGCAACCGACATTTGACCCGATTACGTCAGTCATTCGATTAACCAATTAGCGACCGCCATGTATTTTTTATCTACTTTTGCTTTGTTTTGATTTCTATTGCTGCTAATGTCTACCCACAGTTCCGCAAAAAAAATGTCAAACTCTTGATTCGACAGATCATTTGATTGGCTGAACCCTCATTTCAAGCAGAACACGAGTTAAATAACAACACTTCCAGATCCAAGTGTAGTAAAGACAAGTAACTATATTTTGAACTATAAAAACGAAACGAAATTGTGATTTTCCAGGATCACTCCCCCTTGTCAGTGGTGCAGGACAGAGGGCCAGGCAAGGGACAGTATATAGTCATTCTGGTGGGATGAAAAATTGATGTTGTAAAAGATCCTTTGGCAGTTGAAATTCGATATAAGAGTAGACTATACCGCTGCTGCCTGGGCAAAATTTCCCTCATAGCATTAGCACACTGTTCATTAGCCGAGTCGGAGCAGAACATTAAACCCCATTTTATTTCGTTCCTATCAATGAGTAAGTCTTGACTAACATGGTCGTGCATACTCGAGTGGGATGGGAGGGGTTGTATGATGGTTGAATACAACCAGTCTTCAATCGGTTGGGATTTGATTATGAATGAACGCTTCTCTTTTATTATATGGTGAATTTCTTAAATGTTTTGGGTGAATTTGGTTTGTATCGAGTGGATATTTTTCTTAAATCTTTCTCTTAAAGTGTTAAATGCTTTGGGTGGATCTGATTTGTATCGAGTGGAATTTTGTTAGAGCTTTCTCTCAAAGTGTTAAATGTTTTGGGTGGATCTGATTTGTATTAAGTGGATTTAAAATCCCATTTTTCTTACAGCTTTCTCTTGAAGTGTTAAATCATAAATGTTATAGGTGGATCTAGTTCTTAGATCTTCTTAATAAATAGAAAGGTCTTTAATATACTCATATAAAGTGACTTGATAAATATATAAGCTTTTTATTTCTACGCACAACAAAAAAACATGTACAAATACACAGTATATTCAAGTATTTATTATAAGCAAATCGTTCAGACTCTTTACATTCAATGCGAATTGTTCTTTAATAAAAAAAAATGTAGTGATCGTAAAACTGTATTAATATTAATAATTTTGACCTTTCCAGGGAATACGTTTTATGATAATGCTAGATTCTTTTATGAGAAGTATAATAATGGTGATATATAGATATAAGTATAATAAAACCTGTCATTAGTAGCGCTATACTTATATAGATTTACACACCTTTCTGTAGAAATAAAATCGGACCTCTCATAAACACCATTCATATAGAAAAAATCTGGGTGTCTAAAGTGTAACTAGGAGTATCAAATGAGATAAATTTTATTGAATTGAAATACCTTTTCTAGGCAGCATACAAATACACAATGAAATTCCAGAGAGAAAAAAAATAACATATTTTTTTTTTGTAATTTCACAAAGAAACCAGACAGCAAGTCAAGCTGAATTATCCAGCTATTATTATTATAACAATTTTAAAAAAATATTGACAAAGAAGGTTGTTTTTTTAAGGCATAGAATATTTATGTTTTTAGACATTTCTATGATAATTTTGTAGCGGCCACTTCCAGTTTATGTCAGCGCAGTTTTGTAGTACTTTTGAGTTTAGGAGTGTTAGGGGCGGGGGGGGGTCGCAGTACTATATAGTGATTATTTTGATTTCACATAGGGTATCACTGTAACGTTGATATCGTTGACTAAGCAACAAATAACTGTTATAAATATACAACACTAATAGATCAGATGTGTCTTATTCAGTTAAAATTGTTTGTAATCAGGGGCCTGTTTCACGAAATTTTAACTAAGAAAAAATCCAAATTTTAGTAATTTGATTGGGTAATATTGGATTGATTTTAGTGCTTAGTCCCAGGCAGTAATGTTTTGTTTTGTTACTAATAGATCAAAGTCATCAGTTAAAGATAGGTTCCCAGAAAAGTATTTATCAGGTGGTTATTTCCAATAAAATTATGGCAATTTTGGTATATATGGAAAGTAGAGATATCCAATCTTACTAGAAAAAATACTGGACTCCCTGAAAAACATTCATGGAGCGTATACAGGACAACATTATACTGTCGGTGAAGTGTCAAAAGGGTGTATCTAAGAATTTCTAAAGATTAAGAAATAGAACCTTTTGCATTCCAAAATTTCGGCAAATCAAGATACAACATTTGGACACGTGATACCCAGAACAGTTCTAATTGGCGTATAGAGATACACAGCTTAGACAGAAATGTGTATATTAATTGGGAGATTTTAAAAATGCAAAAAAGTGTATTTGACAAATTTCCAGAGATACAGCCTTTTGACACTTCACCGATGATACTGATCGTAGTTGGTTGAGTTATGGCAATAATCCATGTTCTTCATTAGGCAAAAAAAACAAACACAAAGTGTGTTTACAGTTTATTGACCGAGCCTATAATCCTCTTCAGCCTTTTATTCATGTGTGACAATAGAAATATATCTAAGCTATTTAATATGCAAATTAGATATGTAATGTACAGATTATCAAACCATAGTGTAGCAATATAGAATAACAAAACACTACTATTCAGCCATATCCATGAAGCAATGGCCTCACAATTTCCTTCCTTAGCCGTTGCTGTATTGAGACTGAAAACTTGAGTCTTTGACAGTGTGTCTATTCTCATCGTCCAATCAAATCTCCGGAGCAAAAATATAGGGAATTTCCATGACTTGACCGGGGTGACCTATTTAAAAATTTATGGTAACATATTTAGAGCTCTGGTTAATCCCAATCGATTTTGTTACGTCGTTATGTACTGGTTGTTGATCGGACTATTAACCATATAATTTGGGACAGAAATTTGCGCTGAGTATGCCAGAGTTTGAGTGGGATTCATTAGGTCTAATCAAAAAAAACATTGCGAGGAGTATGCTATTCAGTAGGCCTATTCAATATAATCTAGCCAAATATAGACTAATGCAACACCCCAATTCAGTATTCAATATAGTCTAATGCGATATAGACTAATATAACACTACTACTATTCAATATTCAATATAATCTAACACGATATAGACTAATATAACACTACTACTATTCAATATAGTTTAGCCCGATATAGACAAATTTAACACGTCTATTTAGTATTCGATATAATCTAGCACGTTATAGACCAATATAACACCTCTATTTAGTATTCAATATAGTCTTAACATGTTATAGACCAATGTAACACCTCTATTTAGTATTCAATATAGTCTATCACGATATAGACCAATGTAACACCTCTATTTAGTATTCAATATAGTCTTAACATGTTATAGACAAATGTAACACCTCTATTTAGTATTCAATATAGTCTTAACATGTTATAGACCAATATAACACCTCTATTTAGTATTCAATATAGTCTATCACGATATAGACCAATATAACACCTCTATTTAGTATTCAATATAGTCTATCACGATATAGACCAATATAACACCTCTATTTAGTATTCAATATAGTCTATCACGATATAGACCAATGTAACACCTCTATTTAGTATTCAATATAGTCTATCACGATATAGACCAATATAACACCTCTATTTAGTATTCAATATAGTCTATCACGATATAGACCAATATAACACCTCTATTTAGTATTCAATATAGCATGAAGTGTGTAATTATCTGGTACAATGAGGTTATGATCACATGGATTATGTTTAAAGGAGCTAAATCGCTAACATTTGACACCGAGAAATTGACACAGATGGGTTGCAACGCATATGATTATATAATATGAATGTATATAAACTGATTTACATTCATTCGTTTCTGTTTTTACTCTGATTTCAAATCATTTATGGCAATCTCTAACACCTGGTTATTGCAGTCTACACCGATAGTATTTATTGCACATGCTCTCCAGATAAGAATATGGCGTCACCATTTGACTTGACTTGTGGAATATGCATAGCCTCGTTTTTCAAGTCCCTTATTACAAATGATGCTGAAACGCATTATGGTACATGATTCGTGTACCAATGGTAAAATGGTTATTTTGTCTTAAATAATGGATACCAGAAGCCCATCTTTTCCTGGTAAGATCAATGTTGATTTAAATTGATGAATAATTTGTCTTTTCAATGTTGAATATTTTGGATGATAATGGGTTAGAGACTTAGCTACTTTAAAGATACATTATGGGAGATTAAATAATGAGTTGGCAGTTCTCACTATAATAGTTAAAAACTAGATAATGTAAAGGCAATTTGCTGAAAATTTCAGTCAAATTGATCCACTATGAACCCAGAAATAAGCGATCGAAATTTTTCGCATAGTCTCGGTCATCATTACTAAAGTCGGTACGACAAAAATCTCGATTATCCATTTAATCTTTAAATCGAGAAGGAAAATTATGTAGCAAATCGGATCACAATCCAACAAATATCGCTGGCTAGCGTTGACATCGTTAAATCGAGAAGGAAAGTTATGCAGCAAATCGAATCACAATCCAACAAATATCGCAGGCTAGCGTTGACATCGAGAGTTGATTTATGGTCTGGATAAGTTAATTAATGTCTAATTAATAGTTTATATAACATTTCAGGCCTAAAGAAAGACCTGCAATAGGCAGATTTAGCTCTTACATAATGGATGTTTAACTGACTGAATCTGTATAAAAAAATTAAATGTCTCATATAGTATTAAAGGGTGTCACAAACTTTGTGATTTGATGATAAATTTTGGTCTAAATACATATTTAAATTAATTTATCTATCAAAAGTTTGCTTCAAGTCCCGGGGGATTGGATGGCTGAATGGTTAGTGTGTACGTGTTGTATCTGTCATTGAGTCAACTGGCATGATTTCAATTCCCCGGTTGTACGTGACAAGGAGTAGGTTGGTCTCTCCAACCTCGTGGGTTTTCTCTGAGTCCCCCGGTTTCCTCCCACTGCTAGACCCCCTACACGCAAGAGAATTATTGAAATTAAATTGAACCATGTGTTAGTCCTGACATGACCTAGTTTCTCTCTCTGTCTCTCTCTCTCCTTGTCAGGGATGCAGGACAGAGGGTTTGGCAGCGTCTAGTTCCTGTGGCGTCATTTAAGCACACTACATGGTGTCTGCCTGTCTTAATTAGCTCGATATAGGTGCAGAACAAGGAGGACATTAAACCCCATTCATTCATTCTAATTTAATTTTTTTATTGTAGAAGTTCGACCTGTGACTCCACCAACGGATCAAGAATCGAAGAAGACTTCACGTTTACCTGATCAGAAGGTTTCGGTGGCTGATACTGCTTTATTGTTTCGTCTATTTGATAGTGTCAGCCAGAATAAGAAACCAAATCCTAAATCACATAAACGACCCAGGTAATGTCCTAAAATGTTTTATATATTTTTTCTGTTAAAACAAGCTGAATAGATTGAATATATCTTAAATACAGGCAGAAGATCAAGTTTGTATTTTTTTAAGGATCAATTTGTAAAGAAAACAGAAAGTAATTTGTCCTCATTCAGGTTTTCAATAACATTATAAATAATTCAGATCATCAAGAGATTACAGATGTATGTTTGTATTTACAATCTGATTAAAACACAGATCCTATTTCCTTTCGTTTTCTCCGACGTGGTTCCCCCTTGTCGGTGATGCAGGACGGAAAGACTGACAAGGACAGCTGTCTAGTCGTTTGGATGGGACGGAAAATTGAGGTCCCGTGTACACATTGGCGTGCACGTAAAAGATCCCTTGACAGCTGGAATTTGAAATAAGAGTAGGCCGTAGTGCCACTGTCCGGGCAAAATTTCCCTCATAGCACACTGTATGGCATATGCCCGTCTTCATTAGCTTAGTCGGAGCAGAATAGTAGGACGTTAAACCCCATTTCATTTCATTTCGTTTGGTTTTTTATAGTTCAAAATTTCGTTTTACTTGTCTTTACTGCACAAGGATCTGGAAGAGTTGTTATATTACCAGCGTTTTGGCTGAAGTGAGGGATAAGTTGTGGGTAAACCACTAGAAACATCAACACAGATTGATTAATCAATATTTGATGTCATAGGGTCAAAAGCCGCTCGCACGAAATATAGATTTGAATTTTAATGAGATTGTCAGTATTTATTGTATTGAGGGCCCTGACATAGGGGGAGGCAGAGGGTGGCATATGCCCAGGGGCGACACTTCTAGGAGGGCGGCTAATTATAGGCATGTGAGGACCCTGATTATTATTGAAGGCTGTATCTGGAAATCAAATGTTGTATTTTTTTATGTTGTTTTTATTAACAATACTGCAAGTAAATGATTGAAAATAGTGGACCATATTCATCATCATCATCATCATCATCATCATCATCATCGGTGAGGCCTTTAAGTAGGTCAGCAACCTTTTGGCCGATCCGTTTTTCTACACAGAGATTCATAGCACTTGTTAGAGCCTTAGTATTACATTAGAAAGTCAGTGTGGGGCTAAATTAGACTATCTAGATGTGGCGTGGTGGTGCTCTGATGAGACAAAGCAATTATCATTATTTTGAATTCCAACTGACAAGGATTTTTTTTCACACACACACCTACATATACCTTTCCAAACAACTAAGCTCTGTCCGTTCTGCATCACTGCCCTGCCCGGTAGACCAGTGGTTTTCAACCTTTTTTTGCCAACGTCACACCTTGGAACACATGAAAAAATAGCTGCACACCTGGCTAAATATATATATGAAAAATATTTGAATTTTGCAAAATAAAAACATGGCAAGTCATAGACAGCATACAACTGTAGACACAGATTGGTCATAGACACATAGAATGACTCAAACTAAATAAAGAAAAGTACAACTATAAACATACTTTATTGCAGTGTTTCGAATTGTTGGCTTCTTTAGAGATAAATTTACTTAGTGTGCCATTCAAAATTTCGCGGCACAATTAGAAAGATCTCGCAACACGCCTGCCTGTGTGCCATGGCACACTGGTTGTGAATCACTGCGGTAGACATTTATGCCGTTTTCAGGAAGCTTTGTGAAATAAGCCTTCAGATATCTGGTTGATTGTCACCCTTTCTATTTTGTTTATTTTTACAGAATGAAGACGCCGAGAACTGTTGTAAGATGTAAAAGTAATATGAAAGGATTATTATCTGGTAATGATCCATATCTAGTGGAAGATGTCACTGACAAATTGTTTCCACAATTATCGTTAGAACATGGTAGAAATGGCGGAGGTGGCGGTATGACTACTTTACAAGTTATTACGGTTCCTAACGGCGACAGGACACTGACTTTACCAACTCTCAGTATCGAACAAAACTATCCGCAGATACTGTCAGAATTGGTGATGCATATTTAATGATAGATTAACTGGGCTTTATTTTATAGTGTTACAATCTGACTAATTCATAAAAAACAAAGAAGAAGTAAAGGGACTGATCTACCACTACAACTTAGGTATCATTTAGTTGTGTTGTTTTAGCAGGAGTTCCTGTATTTAATGTTTAGTTTCAGGCCTTTGTTGGAAATGAAATGAAATGGGGTTTAACGTTCTACTGTTCTGCTGCAAATGGGCTAATGAAGACTGACACATGCCATACAGTGTGCAATGATTGAAATTTTGCCCGGGCAGCAGCACTATGGCCTACTTTTATATCGAATTCCAACTGCCAAGGGATCTTTTATGTGCATGCCAATGTATACACAGGACCCCGTTTACTTCGTCCCATCTGAATGACTAGCTGTCCTTGTCAGGCCCTCCATCCTGCACCACTGACAAGGGAAAAACCATGACGGAAAATCACGATGAACTTTCTCAGCCAATGCAGGGAGAGAGAACCATTAAACATCGAAACTCCTGCTAAAACAGCCTAACTAAATGATACCCAAGTTGTTGTGTACATTTGGGCAATTTTGAATCCCATGCCAACTACAATATTGTAAAAGTTAAATCTCTAAAAGAAATATCAGTCCAAAAATGGTTTAATTTGTTTCAGTATTTACAAAGATAAGATGTGTTGAAAATGTCCTAACATTAGGCAACCTCTGACAAGGGCAGTAAGACCTATAAGTGATGGATAAAATCTTTTGATGGGCCTCTTTATGTTATTAAATTGAACCCTAGCTGGGAAGATTATCTGCAGTTGATATGTGGATTTCTGATTTTCTTAATTAAAACATTAAAATACATGTTAATTGGGATTTAGGCTTGAAAATTGAGATATTGTTGGAAAAGCGCAAATGGCGACCAGCTGCCTTAAAGAAATCATATTGGTATAGCCATTCTAATATCTGTTGAATTTTTTAATTGAATGACTATTTGAAGGAATCTCTTTTGTATTATCTGATGGTTATGATATATTTGTGTTATCTGCCATGATGGTTATTTGTATATAAGAATCATAAACTAGAATTGTATATAATATGTATAATTATTAAGATAAGTACTGTGATAGTATTGATTAAGACGAGCATTATTTAATCATCGTCTTTTCATAATTTATTGATATTTTTATTATTCCCTCCAGTCGTCCATTCAGTGTTTTATTTATATCTATATATAACGATCCCCGGAAAACCTCCATAATTATTTTAAATAATGCAAGTAATTATGTCAACATATTCTTTCCCTAAGTATAACATGATCTCAAATGTCTATGTTACCTGCCACAGGTAAATTTCAATGTGATCGATTTCTGTCGTTCTCTGTGAGTAGTCGTAACCTTCCGCCAATACACAAGTCGTGACGTCATTATAGTCCGTCTGCTTGTAAAAGTATAGACTAGAATATGAGCAGAATGACTAAAATGACGCCAAGGATTGTTTATTGGTGGAAAATTATGACTACTCACAGAGAACGGTGAAAATCTACCTGTTGAAATTTACCTGTGGAAGGTAAGATTGACATTTGGGATCGTGTTATATTTATGGAAAGGATATGTTGACATATTTTTAAAAAATTTATGAAGCTTTTCCAGTGACCTTTAATATTTATTAGTCATAATTACGAAAAGTGCTTAGTACATTTCTCTTATAGAAGTATATTGCCGTCCAATGCCACATTCCACACTATTTTCTTACTTTTTCAAAAGTTTTTTTTTTGTTTTAAGATATTGTTTAATATTTTATATGCGTTTATTTATTTATTGTTAGTGGATATTACTAGTTGTTTTTATTTATTTATTCTCCTTCATTCCATCCAAATATTTAAAATACAAAAACTGTCGTGGCCGAACTACGAACTGCTACGAAGAATACGAATGTGTAAGAACCAAAGTTTAATATTTTGTATGCGTTTATTTATTTGTTGTTAGTGGATATTACTAGTTGTTTTTATTTATTTATTCTCCTTCATTCCATCCAAATATTTAAAATACATATCTTATGTAGATTATTTCTAATAGATATTTATTTTGTATAATTTGTGATTAATTTATTTTTGTTGTCTTTATATTTTCATAAAATAATTGTCAATATTTATTTTGACAGATGAAAATGTTTATAGGCTAAAAGTTCCAGTAGCATGCAGAGAGGGGGCAATGACTCGGGGTACCCTTTTCATGGGGGTATCCAATCGAAAAGGGAAATCATATAAAGTTTTTTGAAATTATTGCTATTGATTTTTTTTCCCTATTTAATTAGAATAAAAAGCCTTTTTTAAAAAAATTTCCTTTCTCATATTTCTGGCCCCGGGCATGCAATCAATGAGCTGTCCTCGGTCATACACGCTGTTGAAATATGTATACATTTCGGAATTTACTCCTGGAAAGGCAGTGTAAGATTTATATTTGTCCTCATCCCATTGTTCCTGATAGTTTCGGAACTTTCGTTTTTATTTCGAATCAGGAAAAATGGAATATGGACAAGATACACAAGATATTAATTTATTTTTAAAAAATATTTCGAAATTATAAGCTTTAAAATTGTAGATGATTATTGAAGTTATGCCGAATGAATTCTGTAATATATCTATCCTTGTTTTTATATTATTGTAAATTTGTAGAATTATAAAGTCAAGTGAAAGTCCAGTGCCAAATATATTATAGATGTATATTATAAGATTAATTTCACATGTTATTGAGGCCATACAAAAAAAACTATACCAGCTCTGAGACAATCCTTCCCAAAAATCTGATGCAGGAGGGAGGTTTTTAGTTTTGTGTTTTTATTTAAAAGATACATTATGGGAGATTCGATAAAGAGCTGGCAGTTCTTACTATAATAGTTACAAACTAGATAATGTAAAGGGAATATGCTGAAAATTTTAGTCAAATTGCTCCACTGTGAACCGAGATATTAGCATTTTAAATTTAGGCCCAACCTCGACCATCATTACTAAAGCCGATACGATTTAAAAAAAATAGTCTTGATTATCCATTTTTGGATTAAATCATCAATGAGCCTTGAGCAGCGAATCAGATTAAAATCCAGTAAATAGATGGTATAGAGAGTTGATTATGGTCTTTTCATGTTAATAAATGTCTAATTAATTAATTTAGAAAACATTTCAGGCTTAAAGAAAGACCTGCAATAGGCAGATTTAGCTCTTGCACAATGTATGTTTAAATGAGACTGATTTTTGATTTTTTTGAAATAAAAGCAGGCCATGCTGACCATTTTAAGTTAAGTTGGTTTATCTAAGAACCAGAATAATGTTTTTGTATGGCCTTACTGTTCACATTCTGCACCATATATATTAAGTTACTGTATGTATTCACAATCAGCACCTGGAATTGACCAGACCGGACAATTTAACAAGCGGGTTTCAAGTTTAGATCGATATTATTCTTATGATAGGCAATTTCTGGTAAAGAATATGTACTATTTGGGGGGGGGGGGGGTAACCATAGACTTACAAAACTTGGCATGCTAGACTTTGGACTTCACAATTTTCGATATGATGTGACAATTTCAGGGCCCATAATGATTGTTTTCTTGTTCATATTGTGAATATAATATTATTGGTATTAAGAAAGTTTAAGAAAAAGAAATTGTACTGTTTTTATATTTTGAATATAATACATATTAACTTTAGTATAAGGTGGAAAATAATCAGTAAGCATGACCTACGGAGTTTAGTTACCTAGAAATTTCAATTTTTTTACCTCTTTCTGTTTGGCTATCTCACTTTTTGGGACACAATAACTCTGCTTTAAAATTGAGATAAAATGTTCAAACTTTGTGTTGATTAGGTGAATACCCTGTCCAATTTCGAAGATAAACATTTTCCACTTCGACCAAACAGAGATAAACAATTTGAATTGTTGTTACTTTGGGATACAATAACTTTGATTGTAATAAGAGTGCTGAAAATTGGCGTATAAAGGTATAAGCAATTTGATGAGTGTCTACGATATCACCCTTGATGAAAGTGGACGTAAAAACTCCAGGAACGAACACACGAATGATGAGTGTCATCTATCTATTTTGTGATTGAGAAGGGGGACATGATCCTCATTATTGGATCGTTTTACCCATGATATATGTATTATCGATTATTTCCTCTAAAAAAAAACTTGCTGCCCTTGGCAATATTTATTTCTCTGTTACCGTTTAAATTATTTTAAGGCATTTGATATCTCTCTATGCATTAGGTATAGATGGAAAGGATAGGGGTTGGTGGCCATCCTCAAGGGCTAGCTCCCTGTCTTCTGGTTTCTTTCCGCCGCTATAGACCCCTCCATGCAAGCAAATTCTAACTGTTAAAAAGTTGAAATTGAACCTGGTGCTGATAACTCATAGGTCCTCTGCTGCTGTATTAATAATAAATATTATTAGATTGATACATGTCTCTTCTTTCTGTGAAAGAAGATAAATTTGATATGAATTATTATAATTACTAATGATATCTTTGAGTTTGAATGAGTTTATTATTATAAATACTAATTTTATCTTTGAGTTTGAATGAGTTTAGAAATGTTCCAAAATGTTTAGACTTGCCTTGGTTCCAAAGAGGGGGAGTTGGATGGCTGAATGGTTAGTGTGTGCGTGTTGTATCATAAAATCCGTCATTGAGTCAACTGGCGTGGTTTCGATTCCCCGGTTGTACGTGACAAAGAGTAGGGTCGCCTGTCCAACCTCGTGGGTTTTCTCCGGGTCCTCCGGTTTCCTCCCACTGCTAAAGACCCCTACACGCACGCGAATTATTGAAATAAAATTAAAACCATATGTTAGTCCCGAAATGACCTAGTTTGTGTCGAGTGGACGTTAAACCCCATTTCTCTCTCTCTCTCTCTGGATCCAAAGATATGATACACAAAGATCAAACCTAGACATAAGGCACCTGTCATAGATATATATATGGGATAATTTGTATCTGTGATAGTTGCGTTATGTCTAGATTTGACCAATCTGATTAAAATACAGATCTATATTTCGTTTCGTTTTTTATACGTCCACATTCATAATGTGAACGTATTATGCCGTCGCCCCTGTCTGTGTGTGTGTGTGTGTGTGTGTGTGTGTGTATGTATGTATGTGTGTGTGTGTGTCTGTGGTTCGCCTACAGGGCGCAATTCTTCATGGATTTTCTTCAAACTTGGTATACTTATTCCTTATACCCCAAGGAAGATCCCTATTGTTTTTGGTGCATGCCCGACCCCCCGGGGCAGAGCCACGCCCATTTCTAGTATTTGTTTGTTTGTCGTCTACAGGCCACATTTCTTAACTAATAATCTTGAAACTTTGCATACACATTCTTTGTACCCTAAGGAACATCCCTATCGTTTGGGGTGCATGCCCAACCCCCAGGGGCAGAGCCACGCCCATTTTCTTTTCGTGTGTCTTTGTGTCGCCTACAGGGCGCAATTCTTACTGGATTTTCTTCAAACTTGGTATACTTATTCCTTATACCCCAAGGAAGATCCCTATTGTTTTTGGTGCATGCCCGACCCCCAGGGGCAGAGCCACGCCCATTTCTAGTATTTGTTTGTTTGTCGTCTACAGGCCACATTTCTTAACTTATAATCTTGCATACACATTCTTTGTACCCTAAGGAACATCCCTATCGTTTGGGGTACATGCCCAACCCCCAGGGGCAGAGCCACGCCCATTTCCCATTTTCTTTTCGTGTGTCTTTGTGTCGCCTACAGGGCGCAATTCTTACTGGATTTTCTTCAAACTTGGTATACTTATTCCTTATACCCCAAGGAAGATCCCTATTGTTTTTGGTGCATGCCCGACCCCCAGGGGCAGAGCCACGCCCATTCCTTATATTTATTTATTTGTTTGTCATCTACAGACCGCATTTCTTAACGTATCAACTTTACATATTTATTCCTTATACCCTAAGGATGATCCCTATTGTTTTTAGTGCATGCTCGCCTCCCCGGGGCAGAGCCACGCCCATTTTTGTATTTGTTTGTTTGTCGTCTACAGGCCGCATTTCTTAACGTATCATCTTGAAACTTTGCATACTTATTCTTTGTACCCTCAGGAACATCCCTATCGTTTTGGGTGCATGCCCACCCCCCAGGGGCAAAGCCACGCCCATTTTCTTTTTCTATGTGTGTGTGTCGCCTACAGACCACAATTCTTAATCAATTGTCTTGAAATTTTTTCATATGAATTGCTTATACCCTAACGATGACCCCTATTGTTTTTTTACCCCCAGGGGCAGAGCCACGCCCATTTTCTTTTCTTTT